AAAAAAAAAAAAAAAAATGAACATGTATTGAGATTTCCATGTGCAAAGTGTTTCACAGGTATTTCCACTTGTACTTCTCCCAGTAACTCCACACAGTATGAATTATTACGCTTTCCATTTTCACAGATGACAAAATTGAGGCTGAGAGAGGATAAGTGACTTACCCCAGGTCTTAGAGCCAGGCAGAAGTAGAGCACATGCTTGGGCCTTGCCTGCCTGACTCTCCATTCACGTATTTTCACATTTCTTGCCCTCCCTCTATAAATAGCAGAGAGTTTTACACCAGAGGTTTATACAAGGCTGGCTTCCAACCTTTAAAGATTTAGGTTTACTATTGTTATGCCATGTAACATAGTTTATAGTTCTGTTTCTAGGATACAATAATCATGTAATAACAAGGCCTAACTATAAGAATAAAAAAGCAAGGTGCAGGAAATAAGAACACCATCATGAAGAGACATTTACATTCCCATATTCACTGTGTCATTATTCTTAAGAGCCAAGATATGAAATCATGTGGAAACAAGTGTCCATTGATAGATGAGATGATAAAGAAGATGTGAATATACATACAATATTCTTGTCTTAAAATAGAATGAAATTTTGCCATTTGTGACATGAATGAAACTTGAAGATAGTACATTAAGTGAAATAAGCCAGACACAGAAAACTAAATACTGCATCATCTCGCCTGTATGTAAAACTAAAGTCAAACTCTTAAAAACAGAGCATACAGTGGTGGTTTCCGAGGACTGAGGGGTGGGGGAAAAGGGAAATATTGCTCAAAGGGTTAAAACCCTCAGTCATAAGATGAGTAAGTACTGGAGACCTAACATACAGCATTATGGCTATAGAAGATAATGTATTATAAACCTGAAATTTGCTAAGTGAGTAGATCCCAAGTCTTTCCACCACAAAAACACAAAGACAACTATGCAATGTGATGGTCACATAAGTTAGCTTAATTGCTGTAATGATTTTACAATGCATACATATGTCAAAACCACATTGTATGTCCTAAACGTATATAAATTTTGGTCAATCATAGCTAAATAAAACTGGAAAAATTATCTACATTCATAAAAAAAGATATTTCTAAGAGTGCCAAAAAATCAGCAAAGTGCAGAAGAGTATGAATGGGTTGTTACCACTTGTGTAATAATGTACATATGTACATATATACATAAACATGCTTAGAATACATCTGAAAATACACAGAAACTGGAAACTGCAATTATCATAAGGCAAGAAACTGATTGGGTATGGAAAAGAAACTCTTCATAGAATGCTTTTTGTATTTATTGGTAGTTATAACCGGGTACATATATCACATTTTAAAAGACCAAGAGCATATCTAACAAACACAACCCCAAAAGTAAAGAACTTAATAGACGATTTAGGAAACTAAATCAGTAACTGGAAGGACAGTTTGACAACATCTTTCAGAATGCAAACATAATTCTAAGCACAGAAAATTAGTGTATAAATGATTAATATGAAAGTCAGAAACTTCTGCTTCATAAGCTATGACCCAGCAAGTCCCACGACTCACCCCATTAGTCACCAGAAAAATAAAAATTAAACTAGTTTAACCACCTTCATAAGAACCAAAATGACTAAAATGAAAAAGAGACAAGGCAAACTTTGTGAATATGTGAAATTGTCAGAATTTTTATATATTGACGGGAGAGGAAAGAGCAACCACCACTGAAAAATAACAGTTTGTGAAACTGAACTGAATATATATTTACCCTGTGACCCAGCAAGTGGGTGGGTGCCTTAAGTGCTAAAGCACATAAAGCGGAGACAGTTTTAGCTGTGTGTTTTGAAACACTTATCTAGCACTAAAAGCAGGGACAGTTTTAGCAGTGTATTTTGAAAAAGTCGTCTCTAAGTCCGATAGGCAATGAAGTCAAAAACAGTAATCTGTGTCCACTTGAGTTCAGCATTCTTTTAATAATAAAGGATTCAGTTATATTTGAATTCTTTAGAACTGATTATCATTCTTGTTAATCCACTGTGAATTTTCTGTTTTAATTTCTAGCAGAGGTAATAAAGTTAATCCAAAACCATACATGTATTAAAGCAAAGATTCAAAAGTATACTCAACACAACAGGCAGTGAGCTGAAAAAGCGATCGTATCCCAGTGGGCCTTAAGGCCCACATAATTCTCTACGCAAAAATAAAGAAACAGAGACAGAAAGTGACTGGCCTAAGGCTTGTGACTTGAAAGTGAGTGGCTGACGGAAAGGCAAAGGGTTGGAAATCAAATCCAAATCTTCGGACCTCTAATTCCACACCGTACACTGCCTGCCCCAGGACCAAGGTTACACTTAAATGGCTTAAGGAGAGCTTTGCTGGATTGAAGTCAACCTGAAAAGACATTAAATTCCATCGGCCCAGTCTTTGGCCCCTTGTCTCTAAGGAGAATGTGCCTGGTTCAAATTCTCACTTTGCTTCTAACCTGAGAGATCTGGCCTCAGTGGTCAATGGGAAATGAGCTTGTTTCAGTCACCAACCTCTCACTCATCATCAGGAAAAATTTCTTCAAACATACATGGATTGTGTTTTCAGGAGTGCTGGGGTTTATCCACGGTTCTGAGTAACATGCTACCACAGGAAGAAAGATTTGCTGCTCAGGCCTGGAGACGGAAACACACACACACACACACACACACACACACACACACACACACACACACACACTGTGGCACAAAAAACACACAAACACAGGCCTCACACACAACTGGTAGTGTTCAGCCAAATACTTAGTGGTATGAGGTGGGCTTTGAACCCGTCCATGCTCCAAAGGAAGACACACCTTTCGCTAATTCACACGTCCATTGTCCCTCCTTCTCCCCCAACGCTGCCTCCTCCTCAAGTCCACATATTATGGTATGTCACGAAATTAGGCATGGCAATCTGGTTAAAGCATTGTCCATGATGTTCTCATTAAAAACAACAGCACAGTCTAACAGAGAGCACGCTTGCATAGAAGATGTGAATAATTCTTTCAGACATGGCTCATGATGACAGGGACCATGACACTGGGTAGAATCCCTGCTCTTGGGCAAGGCTACCTGAGTGTCTGTCCACCTCCCAACGTGATTCACACTCTCATTTCACCCTCAGAGGCAGACAAGGACTGCAAAGGACTCAGGTGTCATCCCTGCTGACTGAAAAGGACTCCCATTTCCCCTCGGACCCAAAATCACAGCAAAAGTAGCTTTTTCTTAGAAGAGCACACAACTTTTTCAAAATACACAGCTAAAATGGTCCCCACCCTAAGTGCTTTAGCAACTCGGACGTGCGGGAAACAGATCAGCACAAAGTTCTGGGAGGTGATCTCTGATGAACATGGCATTGACTCTGCTGGCACCTACCACGGGGACAGTGACCTGCAGCTGGAATGTATCAATGTGTACTACAATGAAGCCAGCGGTGGCAGGTATGTGGCCCACACTGTGCTCATGGATGTGGAGCCAGGCACCATGGACACAATGCGTTCAGGGCCTTTTGGGCAGATCTTCAGGCCAGACAACTTCGTCTTTAGTCAGTGTGGGGCCTCAAACAACTGGGCCAAGGGGTACTACACAGAAGGCACCGAGATTGCCTGCAGGGTTTCCAGCTGATCCACTTTCTGGGTCGGGGGACTGGGTCCGGGATGTGTAGCCTTCTCATGGACATAATTTGGGAGGAGTACCCAGACAGGATGATAAACACATTCAGCATCCTGCCCTCACCCAAGGTGTCAGACACCATGGTGGAGCCCTACGATGCCACCCTCTCCATCCACCAGCTCATACAAAATGCAGACGAGACATTCTGCATTGATAATGAAGCACTCTACAACATCTGTTTCAGGACCTTAAAACTGACCACAACCACCTATGGTGACCTGAATCACCTGGTGTCTGCTACCATGAATGGGGTCACCACATGCCTGCACTTCCCAGGCCAGCTGAACACCGACCTGCGGAAGCTGGCCATGAACATGGTTCCATTTCCCTGGCTGCACTTCTTCATGCCTGGCTTCGCCCTGCTAACCAGCCAGAGCAGCCAGCAGTACCAGGCCCTTACCGTGGCTGAGCTCACTCAGCAACTCTTTGAAGCTAAGAATATGATGGTCACCTGTGACCCCCATCATGGCTGCTACCTAACTGGGGCTGCAATTTTCAGAGGTCGCATGTCGATGAGGGAGGTGGATGAGCAAATGTTCAACATTCTGAATAAGAACAGCAGCTTCTTTGCTGAGTGGCTCCCTCACAACGTGAAAACAGCTGTCTGTGACATCCCACCCCGGGGGCTAAAAATGTCAGCCACCTTTATCAGTAACAACACAGCAATCCAAGAGCTCTTCAAACGTGTTTCTGAACAGTTTACAGCTATGTTCAGGCATAAGGCCTTTTTTTTTTCCCAAATAAACATAAAGCAATATTTATTAAGTACCTACCATGTGCTAGGCCTTGGCTACATATACAAAAACAAAAACAGACATGGTACCTGCCCTCATGGAGCTCACAGTCTAGCTGAAGCAGACAAACAGTCACATATACAATGGCAAAGCACCAGGGAAGCATTATGGAAGAACGGATTGGTTCTGCCTTGAGTATGCAGGGCAGGCTTCCCAGAGATGGAGACAATGGAGCTGGGTCTTGGATGAGTAGGAGTTCACCAGATGGAGGGGAAGGGGGCAAGCACATCCCAAGCAGAGCAAACAGCATATGAGCAAGCAGAGTCTTGAAAGTGCATGCCATGGTGCAGAACGATGAGTGGTCCAGCGCAGCTTAATTTGATTGAGAGGATCATTTCGTAGTCTCTGTTTGTTCTTCTGTAATTTACTAGACATCATCTTTCCAGTTCTGAAGTCAAAACTGCTGAGATCAATAGTATTTCCCAGGTACCTTGCCAACTGAGGCTTGCTTCTGAACTTCTTACCACTTGGACTGAAGTAGTAGACACCCGGGTGAGGGGTCTGTCAGCTGCACTGGTCAGTCTCATGGCTCCTGGGTGCGTCACCAGCAACAGCTCACCATCATCGACTTCCAAAGCAGGATCATCCAGGTCTTCTGAATCTGAAATGCCAGGCCCACGCCTCAGCAGCTTCCCAGTGGGACGCTGCCACCCTCCCGTGCTGTGCATGGTGCTGGAGGCGCTGCACGCAGGGGAGCAGCGCCAGGGCACATCGGTGGCAGCCATCAAGCTCTACATCCTGCAAAAGTACCCAATGATGGTTGTCCTTAGCTCCAAGTACCTGCTGAAGCAGGCGCTGGCCACTGGCATGCGCCGTGGCGTCCTCACCAGGCCCCTCAACTCCAAAGCCAGAAGGGCCACTGGCAGCTTCAAATTAGTTACCAAACACAAGAGGAAAATCAAGCCCAGGAAGATGGCCCCCACGAAGTCCCCTAGGAGAGCAGGTGAGGCCAAGAGGAAGGTCCCCAAGAAACCAGATGAGGCCAAGGAGGAGCCTCCCAAGGCAGGCAAGGTGAACAAGGCAGCCAAGAGGCCAGCAGAGGCGCAGAAGTTTCCTCTCAAGCCAGGCGCAGCAAGAGAAAAAGCTCACAAGCAAGGCAGCAAGGCACAGCCAGGCGAGGCTCAGAAGGTGCCCCCCAAACGAGACAAGTCCATGTGGGCCCCTTCTAGTGCCAGCATGTTCAGCAGGAAGGCAGAGGCCAAAGGCAGCAGGAGGAGCCAAGGAGATGCTGAGGCCTGCAGGAAAACCAAAGCCAGGAGTAAGAGTTCAAGACCCACAGTCAGCAAGGTCAAGAATGGTGCTGCTTCCCTAACCAAAAATAATTTGGTAGCCAAGGGCAACACCCAGGACCCTAGAGGGGCAGCTGGCCCCAGGGCTGGGCAGGGGCCGAATGCCAAGGGTGCTTCTGCTAAGGCCAGTGGGTCCAAGGTGGTGTCTGCACACCTGTCCAGGAAGACAGAGGACCCTAAGGAATCGAGAAAGGCTGGGCTGCCCATCAACATCAAGTCCTCATCATCCAACGTGGCCAGCCAGAGGGCTGACGCTTAGGGCTGGAGGCAGGGGTGGAGAGACACCTAGCCTCTGTCCTAGTTTTTATTCTTTAAGTGCTTTAACACTTAAAGCGGGGACCGTTTTAGCTGTGTATTCTGAAAAACTTGTCTAGCATTCAAAGCACAGACAGTTTTAGCTGTGTATTTTCTAAAAGTTGTCTCTAAGTGCCATAGCTCATGAAGTCAAAATGAGTGGTCCCTGACCAGTTGAGTTGAGCATTCTTTTAGTAAGAAATGATTCAGTTATACTTGAATTCTTTAGAACTGATTCTCATTTTTGTTAATCCACTGTGAATTTTCTGTTTTAATTTCTAGCAGAGGTAAAAAATTTAATCCAAAACCATACGTATATTAAAGTGAAGATTCACAAGTATTCTCAACAAACCAGGCACTGAGCTGAAAAAGGGATCGTTTTCCAGTGGGCCTTAAGGCCCACATAATTCTCTATGCAAAAATTGAGAAACAGAGACAGAAAGGGACTCGCCTAAGGCTTGTCACTTGAAAGTGAGTGGCTGACTGACTGGCAGAGGGCTGGAAATCAAATCCAAATCTCCTGACCTCTAATTTCAGAGGGTGCACTGCATCCCCAAGGCCCAATTTCACAGGTAAATGGCTTCACAAGAGCTTTACTGGATTGACGTCAACATTAAAAGACATTAGATTTCATCGGAACTCTCCTTGGCCCCTTGTCTCTAAAGAGAATTTGCCTGGTTCCCATTTTAACATTGGGTCTAACCTGAGAGATATTTAATTTCAGCCTGAAACTCTTGAAAAGGATTAATTAACTTAGGAGTTCCTGCTACAAAGCAATAGTCAAGAACCCTCTTCAGCAAAGGTGGCATGGACTCAGTGATAAATGGGAAATGAGCTGGTTTCAAGCACCACCCTCTCACCAATCATCAACATAAACTTCTTATAACATACATGTATTGTGTTTTTAGGAGGGTGGGGGTTATCCAAGTTTCTGAATAACATGCTACCACACAAAGAAGGATTTGTTGCTCAGGCCTGAAGACAGAAACACAGAAACACAGAAACACACACACACACACACACACACACACACATGCAAAGGCTAGACACACAAATGGTAGTGTCCAGCCAAATACATAGTAGTAAGAGAAGGGCTTTGAAACCATCCATGCTCCAAAGGAAGAGACACCTCTCCCCAATTCACACGTCCATTCTTCTTCCTTCTCCCCCTACAGTGCCTCCTCCTCAAACCGACTTTATACGTAGAGCACAATTAGGCAGGGCTATCAGGATACAGCATTGTCGATACTCTAATTAAAAACAACAGCACAGTCAAACAGAAAATGCTTTCATATGAAATGTGATGAATTCTTTCAGACATGGCTCATGATGTCTTTGGCCACATCATCAAAACAGCAGTTCTGCTATTCACCAAGCCTACCTGTGTACTTGGCCACATCCCATAGCACTTCATGCTCTCATTTCACCTTCAGAGGCAGACAAGTGGACTGCAAAGGACTCATGTGTCCCCCGTGCTCTCTGAAAAGAACTCCCATTTCTCCTGGGGAACAAAAGTAACAACAAAATAGCTTTTTATTTGTAGAACACACCACTTTCTCAAAATACACAGCTAAAACTGTGTTTCATAGCTGTGTATTTACAATAAGTTGTCTCTAAGTGCTATAGATGATGAAGTTAGAATGAGTGATCTGTGTCCCCTTGCGTTGAGCATTCTTTTAGTAATAAAGGATTCGGTTATTTTTTAATTCTTGAAATATGATTCTCATTCTTGTCAATGAAATGTGAATTTTCTGTGTTAATTCCTCCCAGAGGTAAAAGAGATAATCAAAAACGACAGATATATGAAGTCCTGATAGACACGTATTCTCAACAAACCAGGCACTGAGCTGAAAAGGGGACCATTGTGCAGTGGGCCTTAGGGCCCACATAAATCCCTGTGCAAAAGTCGAGAAACAGAGACAGAAAATGGCTCACCTAAGGCTTGTGATTTGGAAGTGAGTGGCTGACTGACTGGCAGTGGGCTGAAAATCAAATCCAAATCTCCTGGCCTCTAATTTCAGAGGATGCACTGCCACCCCAGGGCCCAATTTCACAGGTAAATGTCTTAACAAGGGCTTTACTGGATTGAAGTCGACATTAAAAGACATTAGATTTCACTGGGACAGTCTTTGGCCCCTTGTCTCTAATGAGAATTTGTCTGGTTCAAATTTTAACACTGTGTCTAACTTGAGATATCTTGACTTTCAGCCTGAAACTCTTGAAAAGGATTGATTAACTTAGGAGTTCCTGCTACAAAGGAAGAGTCAAGAACCCTCTTCAGCAAAGGTGAGCTGGCCTCAGTGATAAATGGGAAATGAGCTGGTTTCAATCACCACCCTCTCGCCAATCATCAAGATAAATTTCTTCAACCATAAATGTATTGTGTTTTTAGGAGGCATGGGTGTTATCCCAGGTTCTGAGTAACATGCGAAAACAGGAAGAAGGATTTGCTACTCAGGCCTGGAGACAGAAACACAGGAACACACACAGACGCACATCAACACAGAGAGAAACAAACATATATAAACACACACACACACACACACACACACACACGCTTCACACACAACTTGTATTGTCCAGCCAAATACTCAGTAGTATGAGGAGGGCTGTCAACCCATCCATGCTGCAGACGAAGAGGCACCTTTTCCTAGTTCACATATCCATTCTCCCTCCTTCTCCCTCAACACTGCCTCCTCCACAAGCTCATGCATTATTACATAGAACAAAATTAGGCAGGGCTATCAATTTAAAGCATTCTGAATGATGCTCTCATTAAAAACAACAGAACAGTTCAACAGAGAGCATGCTTGCATGTAAAATGTGGTTAATTCTTTCAGACATGGCTCAGGATGACTGGGGACACAATGCCAGGAAAACGCTCTGCTCTGCCGCAAGCCCGGCTGTGTGCCTTGTGACCTCCCAAAGTGCGCCACACTCTCATTTTAGACTCAGTGGCAGACAAGAGGACTGCAAAGGACTCACGTGGCTTTTATTCTTTCTGAAAACAACTCCCATTTCTCCTGAGGACCAAAATTAACAACAAAAGGAGTTTTTTATTTGTAGAGCACATAACTTTTTCAAATTGCACAGCTAAAACTGACACTGCTTTAAAACAGGCATATAAAAGATGAATAATATCCTTATCACTATGGCCATCTAAACTGAATGACATACTCAATGTCATACTCAATGTCATACACAGTCACATATACAATGACATACACACACTTTGCCAATGATACATGTAAATGGAAAACAAGCACATAAAAGGATGATAACTATCATTGTCATTATGGCCACATAAACTGAAACCACGACCTACTCCCTCACACAAACTAAAAAGCCTTTAATCCCAGAAATGTAAATTAACAAGTGTTGGCAAAGTGCGAGAGAAATCACAATCCTTAAATACTGTACGGGGAACAGAAATGGTGCAGCCTGTTTTTAACATAATTTTGTAATTCCTCCAAAAGGTAAAAATTGGCTGGGCACATCAGTTGATGCCTGTAATACCAGCACAAGGGGAAGCTGAGGCTGGTGGATCACATGAGTCCAGGAGTTCAAGACCAGCAAGGATGACAGAGCAAAACTCCCTCTCTACTAGAAATACAAAAATTAGCCAGTTCATGGTGGCACGCACCTGTAGTCCCAGCTACTTGGGAGGCTGAAACAGAAGGACTGCTTGAGCCCACAATGTGGAGGTCACAGTAAGCCAAGATCACAACCCTGCACTCCAGCTTGGATGACAGCACAGGACCCTTTTTCAAAAAAGAAGGGGCGGGCATAGTGGTTCACACCTGTAATCCTAGTGCTTTGGGAGGCCGAGGCCAGCAGATCACTTGAGGTTAGGAGTTCAAGACCAGCTTCGCCAATATGGCAAAACCCCGTCTCTACTAAAAATATGAAAATTAGCAGGGCTTGCTAGCACACACTTAGAATCCCAGCTACTTGGGAGGCTGAGGCAGGAGAACTGCTTGAACCCAGAAGCTGGAGGCTGCAGTAAGCCGATATCGAGCCACTGCACTCCAGCCTGGCTGACACATCAAGATCCCATCTGAAAAAGAAAAAAAGAAAGAAAACCAAAATGCCTGGGAGTGGCAGGGTGCAGTGGCTCACACCTATTATCCGAGCAATTTCAGAGGCTGAGGCAAGCAGATCACCTGACATTAGCAGTTCGAGACAAGTCTGACCAACATTAAGAATACCTGTCTCACCGGGCGCAGTGGCTCAAGCCTGTAATTCCAGCACTTTGGGAGGCTGAGGCGGGTGGATCACGAGGTCAAGAGATCGAGACCATCCTGGTCAACATGGTGAAACCCCGTCTCTACTAAAAACACAAAAAACTAGTTGGGCATGGTGGTGTGTGCCTGTAATCCCAGCTACACAGGAGGCTGAGGCAGGAGAATTGCCTGAACCCAGGAGGCAGAGGTTGCGGTGAGCCGAGATCACGCCATTGCACTCCAGCCTGGGTAACAAGAGTGAAACTCCATCTCAAAAAAAAAAAGAAAAAGAATACCTGTCTCTGCTGAAAATACAAAAATTAGCCAGTCATAGTGGCATGTCCCTGTAATCCCAGCTCCTCAGCTGGCTGAGGTAGAAAGATCACTTCAACCCAGGAAATGAAGTTTGCAGTGAGCCAAGATGGTACTACTGCACTCCAGCCTGGGTGAAAGAGCAAGATTCCGTCTCAAAAATAAATAAATAAACACAAAAAATTAGCTGGGCATGGTAGTGGGAGACTGTAATCTCAGCTACTTGGGAGGCTGAGGCCAGAGAATTATTTGAAACCAGGAGTTAGAAGTTGTGGTGAGCTGAGATCACACCACTGCACTCCTAGGAAACAGAGCAAGGGACTGCCTCAAACCACAGTAAGGAAGAAAATATTTGTGCATTACATATCTAACAGTCCATTAACCACAATATATAATTTGTATAACTTCACAACAAAAAAAACAAATTTTT